AGTGAAACCAATTCAACGTTCGTAACACGATTTAAAGAGGTATTTTGCGTGATAAATCAGCTTCAAAACCATAAGTTCGTGACATCCCACTAAACCATAAGGAGCCGTAATTAAACAAAATGTTCTGCCCTACAGACATGGGTGGATTGAATTTATCTCCTCACCATAATGTTTGCTGGTCAGTAACGCCACCCTCCCTCCTTTTGTGATGTTAGGCTCTCTTACGTTTGTGGTAAGTATGAATACTGCTTTAATCAAAGCCCATAGTTGGAATACACTGTCTCTACTAGGTCCATGTTACAAGCAAATCAGATAGTTGAAAAGTCTGTTTTATGGGTTAGATGTCCACATAGTATATCACACTGCTATGAAAATAACTAATGGTTTAAAGAAGTAAGGACTAATAGCAAATCAAAAGATATGAGAGGGTATAAAACTGTAGAAAGAAAAAAGAAAGGAAAAAGATTTCAGGGTGAGAAAAATAAAACATTGAGAAACTCACAAGACTTTGTGGCCAAATTTTGAGCTTTGTATGATCGGCCTTAGTAGATCAGCATCCATAAGATTGAGCTATCTGTCTACTTGCAGTAGAAAAAAGCATGACTTTTAGGAAGAATAATGTACATTTAACCTGTAGAGATTTGGGAACTGAAAGCTAGGGTTAGGAACATAAGGTTATGATTAATAAACAATGAATAATAGGAAAGGATAAGCCATATATTCTGCGGTTTGGTTATATTCGTATTAGTAACAGTCGAACTTGTTATAATCTTGTTCTTTCTAGATACTGGGCGGTCCGTAATAAAGTGCCTCATTGGTGGGCGGGAGTTCAAGGAAATGTTGAAGCTCTTTGGAGTCTAGAAATAGGGTTATTAGCTTTTTGAATCTGGTAAACGTATCACAGTTACGGATAGGCATTGGCAGCCTGTTCCACAATAAACTGTACCGTACTGTAAAAACTTACAACGCATTTGTTTTTGGTGTTTTACGGTAAGTAGTGTATATGCGTTGTTTCTAAGTCTATAGGCTGGGTCGTGGGTGATAGTCGGGCAGGAGGTTAGAAAGGAGAGCCCATATATCGCTTTGTAGAGAAATATTAAATTGTTTTTAGCCTACGGTGCCATAAAGGTTCTAAAGATAGATGCTTACATCTGTCTGTGTAATCGAGATTCGAGTTACATCCTAGTAGTTGACGTGTGAAACGTCTTTGAACATCTTCTACTCTTATCTTGTCTGTGATATTCATATTAGAGAAGACAAAAGAGCAGTATTCAAGGGAGGGTCGTACACATATTTTGTAGAGAGTAAGTTTACCCTCTGTTGTGAAAAAGTTTTTCATTATAAAACCAATTAGCCGTCTAGATTTAGAAATAATAGAGGAGGCATGTTCTTCAAAGTTCAGGCTTCCTGTGTAATTAATTACTAAATCGTTCACTGATTCGAGTGTTTGGACTCTACTTTCATTTAAGTGAAGTCGCGGTTTATAGGGATGCTTTCCAGAGTGCATGATCCCGCACTTGTTGAGGTTAAATGGTAATTGCCATTTTTCACTCCATATAGTTAAGTTATTGAGGTCCTTTTGGATCTGGGATATACTTTTCTTAGTGTCTCAGGCTTATAGCTGTATACTATTTTGAGATCATCAGCATATAAGTATGGTTTCCCAAATTCTATGGTGTTACATATATCGTTTATATACATAAGAAACAAAAGTGGCCCTAATACGCTTCCCTGGATGACTCCACTGGTGATTGGTCTAGGGGACGAGGGACAGTCATTGAACTTTACCATCTGTTTACGTTCTGTTAAGAAGGAAGCAAACCATGAGTACAGTGGGTTGTGTATTCCGAAGGACTTTAGTTTGACGAGTAGCCTTTTGTGTGGGACCTTATCAAAGGCTTTCTTAAAGTCTAGGAATAGGACTGATACAAGGAGTCCGCTGTCTCGTTTCAGAGTTATATCATTCAGGTAGTCTACCAGGCATGTATCGCATGATCTGGACCTAAGAAATCCATGCTGGGTGGTCGAGATGAGATTATTAGTTAACAAACAAATTCCAGTAACTGGTCTGAACGCAGAGCTAACGAACCGAAATTTGATTGATTAGGTCCAACTTATGTTCTTCTGTAAAGCGTACAAAGTTTTTTAGGTGACTCATTAGATTATAGCGAAACGCAAACTCTGTGCCGACTTTAACCGGTTCTAATCGAAGAGAGAAAATAGTACAAAGTACGTCAAACAGTACACCTTATTTCATAAAGTTAAAGGTTTCTCTAGTACAAAATAGCGTGAAAATCATCAAAAGGAATGGTTAATAAATAAGTGTTCGATACCGGAGAATCGGTAACAGTATCTCTTACAACATATGATGAAACATCTATCCACACGAACTTCAGTATCCGTTTCCAGTAGGCAGTCAACGATTGTTAATATTGAATTGTTATATGAGCGTGTTTGTTAAGTGCTCACTTAATTCATTGACTGTCTGTAACTTATTTTTGTCACACTTTAAATATCGAGTTGGCTCACCTGCCTTCTCTGCTTCGTTTTTCTTTCTCGCCTCTCATTCTGAATGTCGGTCCGGCTCAACGAATGTACGAAACATACGTATTCCAAAATAATTCTCGTGATTTACACAATTTATTACATTATTCTAAAAGTGAATTTAGTCATCAATTATTCGGGGGAAGGGTTGTTGGGATTCATATTTTTATAACGTTATCACATGACTTAATTGAAGTCAAATGAAATGGACACAAAGACATCACCATTACGTTAATCAAGGCAACGCTCAGAAAATTACACACCAACGAATAAAACCCTATGTGCGCTACCACGTTTTTTCACCTATAGTAACTTTTATTGAGCATCTCTTCTCACTCAAAGTGACCACAGTTTCCTCAATGGACAGGTTTGAGATGAGACCTGAGAAACACACATTGATACATTGACTAACACATAGACCACTGATTGAAATCATGAGTCATTTGAAGCTAGACCACCATTGAAAACCTGGAGGCACTGGTCAGCCGTTTCGTCCTAGCAGTGCGCATCCACGATCCCGCACCCCGCGAGATTCGAACCCAGGACCTATCAGTTTCGCTTACTTACTTACTTATGCCTGTTACTCCTCTGAGCTGGCATCCAGTGGTGTTAATGTCTAACTTCAGCCAATCCACGAAGTTGCGCCTTGGTGGTCTAGCTTCAACTGACTCAAGATTTCAATCTGTGAAATTTCTAAAATCTCCACAAACCCCTTCTGATATAGACCACTGATGCAGATAATTTATTTCGTATGATTGGATGACTATTCGAGTTAGACGGCAATGGTGCGACGAACCAGTCGAGTTCGAAGTCACACCTTGCGAGCAGCATTTGACGTGGATTACTCGTTATGTCGTGTCAAGGTACCACGATTGCTTTGAGGACTGTAAAATACAAAGGACGTTATTGCTGAGATATATTAGCAAGAGTGCGATCAAAACCACATGGGCCAGTCCTCGGCGTGCGATTAACTGATGCGTGTCGGTTGTCACTGACCTCAAGGATGACCAGCGAACTGTTCGATATACAGTGAGTCGAAATCCGGATGATTTGGCTAGGTCCACTGACACTCGAAAGGCCTTACAAACATTTTGACTGGTTTTGCCTGATGCATGTCTCATAATTTATGCACGTTTAGCACCAGTACATGTCACAGAATTATTGCTATCTTGCTTATTATCATCTTTGTCCCACTTTGTATTGTCGCACGTTGATATTCTGACATTGTCTGCGTTATTGGCTAACTAACTTATCTAATTAATCAGTCCTTGAAATAACCAGCTCCTCTTAGCATTCGAATTTTCTCCATATTACCGTTTACATTGCAACCAAACGACCTCCTGCCTGATGTTGTGATAGATGTCGGTATCCGAAAGCCTATTGTCCTGACAGACAGATAAATGTCTGCCTGTCGACGTGATATTCATAGATTTTAGCAAAGCATTCGACAAGGTTTCACACTTAGTTCTAATGCAGAATCTCGCGAGCTTCGGAATAATAGGTAGTGTACAGGAGTGGACAGGAAACTTCTTATGTGACCTCAGACAGAGAGTGAAAGTCAACGGAACGCTATCCGATTGGAAGCCGGTCAAAAGTGGTGTACCCCAAGGCGCCATCTTAGGCCCTCTGCTCTTCCTTTTCTACGTTAATGAGTTACCACTGTTGCTTAGGTTGTCGACATTATTGTTTGCGGATGACGCAGAAATCTGGAGAAGAATAAAAAGTCAGGCTGATCATGTGGATCTCCAAGCAGACTTAGACAAGATAATTAGATGGGCTCGAGGTTGGGACTTGGAAATCAGTTCTGGGAAAAGTGTGCTGATGCACATCAGCATGACTTATAAACAACTACGCATTGTAACGCAGCCGCTGTCAAAGGTTCTCGTGCGTTATGGTCACTTCGCCGAGCGTTCAAATCTTTTGGTGAGGATATGTTTCCAATTTTATATCCCACATATGTAAGACCACATTTAGAGTACTGTTTCCAAGCAGCTAGCCCATGTCTGGTAAAGGATACTGACTCACTTGAGCGTGTCCAGTGTGTAGGAGCAAAATTAGAGAAGGTTCTTTCTGAACTCCCTCATGACGAGCGTTTAAAACACCTAAACCTTTTCCCCTTGTCGTATCGTAGGACGCGAGGTCACCTTGTATTAGTATTTCGTACCTTTAATTATGATTTGGGTGTTAATATGTCTTATCTTTTTGCTCCCTCCAGCACCAATAATCTCCGAGGTCATAGCAAGAAGGTCCATAAACCGCCATGTAATAAACTTAAACTGGGGTCCCGTTTTTCTCATCGAGTAGTCAATGATGGGTACGCCTTACCCGAACAAGTGGCATCAGCCTCATCAGTGAAGATTTTCAAGGAGAAGCTGAACCCTCACTGGAAAGCAAGCTGCCAAGATTACCACAGATTCACCAACCTACTATCCTTATTACTGAAGAGTGAAACAAACTACTCACTTAGATTATATGATATACAAACCTTCAAATAATTGTCAAACTCATTAGATTAGTGCAGTCGAGTAGCAAGAATATCTACATTTCGCATCACCAAAGAAGTTAACCCGTAAAGAAACAATAAGAGGCAAGCGCAAACAAAGTGATCGGTTTTTATACAAGCGACATCGGATATTGGTTGTTGACTGGGATGTCTCAAAATTAGTTGTTGCGTTACATGTTTTGGTGCAGAAGTTTTGTCTGTCCGGGAAGAAGGGTTTTGACTTTTGTAAATAGAAGTCTCTTTGTTCAGTGTTCTCCGTTATGTGGAAGTTTCAATCGACGGTCCGAGAACCTATGGATTTGCAGAATTCTTAGTAAATTGTCACCAAGTGACAAAATGCTCCTGTATCAAGAATTATCCAAGTGCATCACGGAGAGACCAGACTCCTCAGTGAGTACACAACAAGTTGAGGTAGCCCATTTGACATATGCGCAACTTAAGTGCAGTGAGTTTACGAGAAAGGGCAGAATATGCATCGTATCTTAGTTTTTATAGGTAACTGTCTCCCGTTCATAGGATTTGGTTTCCTGGATAATGCAATTATGATAGTGGCTGTAAGTAAGGTTTAAAAGCTGTCGCTTTTAATCATCATTTTCACATAGGGGGAGTATATTGACGTGCAATTCGCAACATTCTTGGGCATTTCGACAATGGCTGGTACCTATATTTCTGATAATTTTCATGTTTCTAGCTGCCGGTCTAGGAAATCTTGTTTCCGATCTTTTTGGCATAGGGTGAGTTTGTAATCACATCTGATTTGGATGCGTCCCTGAACTCAGCTTTCAGTATGCCTCCAGTATCTGGGTTCATTTAACTCGTAAATTAGTTTTGTAATTAGTGAAAATTTTGACTTTTATCCCTCTAAACCAGTAAAAATATCCCTTTGTTTTAAGCACTAAAAGTTTGGCTACGATTCAATGAAACAGATCGATTGCAACTAATCTGAGTTGTTTTAAAATGTTAGAATGAGTTTATTGTGCTAGTTTTTTTTGTTTGGCTAGAAACACACCCCGTTGTATTTTCTCAACTCAAGCTACGGACGGCTGTAATCCGCCTTCGTGTTTCGAATCTGAACAGTGTCAGTCATTTAGGCTGGAGATAGTTCAGGTAATTCTAGGACACAAGTATCTTGCTGAATTTAAATAAAAAAACTAGTATCTGTTATCTTGAGCATTTCTCCTTTTAAAACCACCGAATTTATTTTCACGAATGGGTCTTGTAAGTCTCAAGTTGTTGCTGAAAAATCAACATGCTTAGAAAAATGATGAGTTCGACTTCAAAGTATTTTTATGGTTTTCAGACTCTTTTGATGCATTTATTTCCACTTAGCAATGTGTCACTAACCTAGTGTTATCATACTGTTATGTGTTGTACAATTTCTTAGGATACATGTCATTATATCAATTTGCAAGAAATATAAAATCTCGGTGTTAAGACTGCTAGCCCTTAACTAACGCGTCTAACTACTAATGCATCTTAAGGCTTATCTGGGATTGTGAATAAAGGACAGGGGCCTGTAAACCTAAAAAATGTCTTGATTTATTCACACGAATCAGTCATGTCAATTGAGTTTCACCGATCAGATGAACTACTTAAACCTAAATGTGGTGGTTAATTCCAACCCTGTAAACAAATATGGTTTGTGATAGGTGGTTTTAAGAACCTATTTATAACTCACATTTTAACTCGTCTGTTGAATATCAAAATAACTTTTCGATTTATTATATTGTAGATAAATACGTATTTTCATTAAATTATTGGCAGCTAAAATTCAGAGGATGTTACTACTGGTAAACATTTCAATTGGATGATATCTGAACTGTTTTTATAGTTTATAAGGGCTTTTACCGTAATTTATTTATGTAGTATATTTCTAAAGTATGAGTGTATTTTAGTCCTCTCCAAAATCATCACAGCTAGGCTTTTTCTTTTTAGATGTAGCAACAAAACACCAGTCATTTATAAACTTATTATATTATTTGTGAGTCTAGTTTAGACCCATTTAATCCAATAACATTTGAGTAAAAGAGGAAAATGTTTCCGCTATTATATTAGGCTCGTCGGCTACGTTGAAAAGTTCATGGAAAAAATTGGCATTTCTGTTCCCCCATTGTCTGCATCCCAACTAGCCAGCAGTTCAGTTCGTTGGTCTATAGCAATAGTAAGTTAGTTCTAATTACTGCATTCAGGTATATCATGTTTTTCAAGCGTCGTCCTCAAAGTTGCTTATAAACATGCCAGTTAAAATCAATACATTTGTGGAGTGCACACTTATTCTACAGTGTTTACAGCACTGAACCTTCAATTATTAAGTTTCATGCTCATGCCTTACGATACCTGTTTTGTTTCGAGCTACTTGGTCTTATTATTAACCCTTTCAAACCAGTTTCGCCCAAATCCCGCATCTTTATTTAGTCACTAGGTTGCATTTAGTGTTAGTTGTTTGAATAAAATATCAGGAAATCCGGAAATAACTTCAACAGACCCCACGCAGACTCAGGGTTATTATCATATCCTAAGTCCAACGTAAAACTCCGCCTGTAGCTCTTCTAGAGTTACTGCCGGTCCCGAGCCTGGGTAAAGGAGGAGGGTTGGTAATGGCGGGCCAATCACTGAAATTCAACAACAGCGGGACAGATGAGTAGAGTACTCCGAGGAACTGAATATGCCGGCTCCAATGAATCCACCGGACATCGAAGCAACACACACACAGATCTTCCTATAGACGTCAACCTACCAACGAAGGAAGAAATCAGAATGGCCGTCAGACAAATCAAGAACGGGAAAGCAGCGGGACCCGACAACATACCAGCTGCAGCATTGAAGTAACTACAAACATGCTTCACCTTCTATTCAAAAAGATTTGGGAGGGGGAACAAGTGCCAATGGGTTGGAAAGAAGGGCACCTTGTCAAGATTCCAAAGAAAGGAGATCTGAGCAAATGTGAAAACTACAGAGGCATTACACTACTGTCAATACCAGGGAAGGTCTTTAACAGAGTGTTGCTGAACCGGATGAAAGATGCAGTAGACGCCCAACTTCGAGATCAACAAGCTGGATTCCGTAAGGATCGATCGTGCACAGACCAAATTGCAACACTACGGATCATCGTCGAACAATCAGTTGAGTGGAACTCGTCACTATACATCAATTTCATTGATTATGAGAAGGCATTTGACAATGTAGATAGGAAGACGTTATGGAAACTTCTTCGACACTACGGAGTTCCTGAGAAGATTGTCAATATTATCCGGAACTCATACGACGGACTACAATGCAAAGTCGTGCATGGAGGACAGCTGTGAGATGCATTCCAAGTAAGGACTGGAGTCAGACAAGGGTGCTTACTCTCTCCCTTCCTCTTTCTTCTGGTGGTCGACTGGATTATGAAGACCTCGACATCTGAAGGGAAATACGGCATACAATGGACAGCTCAGAATCGATTAGACGATTTGGGCTTCGCAGATGACCTAGCCCTCCTATCACATACACACCAACAAATGCAGATAAAGACAGCCAGTATAGCAGCAGTTTCTGCATCAGTAGGCCTCAGCATACACAAGGGGAAAACCAAGGTCCTCAAATACAACATGGAGAACAGCAATTCAATCACACTTAATGGAGAATCTTCCACATACCTGGGAAGCATCATCGATGAACAAGGAGGTTGAGATGCAGACGTAAAGGAGAGGATTGGGAAAGCAAGGGCCGCATCACTACAATTGAAGAACATATGGAACTCAAAACAACTTTCAACCAATATCAAAGTCAGAATCTTCAATACCAACGTCAACACATTTCTACTGCACGGAGCTGAGAATTGGGGAACTACTACAACCATCATCAAGAATATAGAAGTATTTATAAATAGCTGTCTACGCAGGATACTCAATGTCCGTTGTTGGACGGATACCATCAGCAACAGCCTTCTGTGGGAGGGAACAAACCAGATTCCATCTGAAGAGGAAATTAGGAAAAGACTATGGAAATGGATAGGACACGCATTGAGGAAATCATCAAACTGCATCACGAGTCGAGTCGTAACTTGGAATCCTGAAGGGAGGCTGAAAAGAGGAAGGCCAAAGAACAGATATGAAAAGGATGAATAAATGAATAACAACTAGAAAGAGCTGGAAATGATTGCCCAGGACAGGGTTGGATGGCGAGTGCTGGTTGGTGGTCTATGTTCCTTCACGAGAAGTAACAGGCGTAAGTAAGTAACTCCAACGTAACTGCCACATTTGTTGATTCATATTTTGTGATGACTTCGTACTCCACCTTTTATTCATTTGGAAATCCCCGGTCAGAAAAGCACGGTAATGTATCCAACCGTAAAGAATACTTATTTATTATGTAACTCTGACAACTTTAATTCACACATTATGAACACCTAATCCATCAATCTTTTTCATTCGTTTTCCGTAAAATTTGCACTGTACAGTCGTAATTATTAGAAGCTTTGATTGATTTTGCGTCCGTGAGGATCGTTTTCACCATGAAATTTACCCTGACTGTTCTTAAGTCACGCGCACCATCTGAGCTTACTGTCCTCAGCTTTAACGCAAATCCTAAAACAGGTGTATTTAGGACATTAAAACGTCTACCTGTCTTTACACGTTATCTTAAATTTCTACCAAATGTAGTAAATTGGTCGCTTTAACAATGTTGACTATAGGTATATGGTATAGGCTAATCATTCAAGACCACTAAGCAAAGCCAAGAATTTTCTTCGTATAGTACTCATAGGCTTTCTCTGGAATGTAGCTTAAACCAAGGAATTTTGTAGGGATTTTTATGTTCCTAGGCTATCAGCTAAAAGACGAATCCTTTTTGCCAAAAACTGGATTGAATTAGATTATCATGGTCCCTTCGTCATAGCAATGAATTGGTTGGTCGGGTATTCTTACATTATGTATTTCACCTCAGTGAGAAAAATGGTAAGCACTCTTAAGTCCAATAGAAAAACCATGAAAGTTATGGACAGGAGATTTCGTTTTTTGATTGTTTCATGGGAAGCTTGTTGAAAAAGGGATTTTATGAACAAAATATGAAAATTCGTGTCAATTACATATCTTGGCTTCAAGGGTTCAGATCGATTACAGTGAGTTAGATGCATCCATTTCCCTTCATCTCATCTTGGAATGTGACATTATTCTTTAGATTCTTTTTCTTTCGAAATATGTCATAAACACCAATACTACTTTTACTCCGCTATACATCTTGTTAATTTCCACGAGCTGTGCATGTGTGTCATGGGGATTTTGTTCAGTGTACACTACTTCCTGCTCTTATGTTGTTTATGACCATATATGATAATCAGGTTTTAGATCCCACAAGCGGTAAAACTTGGTTAAACCAGTGATTTCTGATCGTATTACAGGTCCAAGTTTCTAATGAAGTGTAGTGTCTTTTTCTTTTAGTGGATAATTCCTCTTGTTTTGACTGTTAGCATGTGTCAATACTGCAACCGATGTGCTAAATTTCCAGCATTATAATTAATCTTGCGGTAGTAAAATACTTCGAATTGTTTTAACTTGTGTTATTTGTAATTGGAATTAAGACTGATTATTAACACTCATAAAGCATATTCCTTTATTTTTAGGGACGGATCGTTGGCATTACTACTGGTTGTCTTCTAGGTTTATTGCCTCTTGTTTTGTTCAGTTGGTGAAAGCTAAAAAGATTAACCAAGGGTTCAGTCCAACTTTCCGGGTTCTTTACCTCTACAATAGCAGTGTTTTTAATTAACTAGATGTATCTTGATTTCTTCCTTAGCATAAATCTACAGATCTTTATAAGTCGTGACAGTGAATTTGTAACTCTAATGCAAACGCTTTGCAAAAGTATATTCTCATACTAACCAGCCATTTAAAACAGCATCACAGCTCTGCAGAACAATTTTTGGTTTCAAAATTAACGTAATATCCAACATCTGATTTCGTATAATTTTTTATTCCGTTATCTGGATCGATTTTTTACTGATCTAATCATATTACAAGTATGCAGATAATATTTCCAAACTGCTGAACTGTTTAAAATAAGTCTCATATCATAAATGCCTTTGAAGACACTTGAGCGCCAATCTCAACTATACCGTGTGGTAAATATGATTCTCTAAATGTATTAGGATTACATAATTAATATCTTAATAATCCTTCATTCTTAGTTTATAATTTACTACTTTATTTTTAATTTCTATGTAAAATACCTAGCTTTCATCAAAATAAATGTATTTTTACTAAACTCCCAGCGTTAAGAAATGTGCCAAGAAAATGCTTTGTCGACTTGTTTATGTACAGTGACCAAGGTACCTGGTCCTTAACAACTCCCTGAGAGTATGAGATTTAAATTTCGTGGATTGTGGGTAAACATAAATTCCTAAACTCCTTGATGTATAAATGCTATAAACCTTTGCATAGTGAATGGTTAGTAAAAGTAACCCATGCTTGATAAAGTTTTGGCAAAATGTCCCATACTTATTTAGAATTATTATTTTTATTAATCAAACGTATGATGTCTTATACTTTGATTCTTCGTAGTTTGAAATACTCACTTATTACGTATATTATTTCTTATCTAAACAAACTTATTACAATACTAGCATCACGTTATATGCACCAGAAAACGGTGAAAACTCACGAGAATACGAAGGAGACAGAAATAAAAAAACCCAGCTACATAAATTGCAAATAAAAGGCTTTGGTCTCCTTTTCCTAAAGCTGTTCAAATTGGAAGGGAAAACGATCTGAAGCCGTTAATTTTTATTCTAAATCTTGTATTGGGTCTCAGTTCATTTAATGCTCTTTAGCATTGTTTGGAATATTAGAGTTATCCAATAGATGAAAACGAACATAAATCTCGTCCGCTCATCACTATAGATTTAAAATGTACACTCAACTCTAAAACTAATCGGGAAGATGGGAATGCTGAGTATAGAAACAAATCTTCAAGCTCAAATTTTGATGAAATAAATATACCCGCTTAGAAATATCAAGACATGATTCCATCAATGTTCTGTCCCAACGACCTCCTTACCATGGTTTTACATTTATTCAAAGGGATAAGTGATACGTTACTAGATGTGGTATGTTCACACAGATTTGTAGTTTTAGGAAAGGTTTCAGCAAGTGACTAGTTTATAATATTGACTGCGTAAATATAAGGAGTGAAAACCTTCAACCGGGAGGGTGTAATTTCCTACATATTGAATATGATTTTGAGCGTGTTTGCTTACGAAAACAAACAAAGTAAGAAAAAGCTAAACAGTTATTCTCAACTCATAAAATTCGCATATTTTGATGAGTATAATTTCAAACGTATGGAAGCGGTTTTTGAAGCACGTTTTAAATGTACAAAAAATTGATAGTAATAATAGTTATCTAGAAGTGGTACGATCGCACGTTTAATTGTAACCCGTTCGGGACTAGGATCAGAAACTCTTAGTTTCTGAGATCTCAAACATGAACGCAAGTGGCTCTAAATACCAAAAGACGAATCCAAAGACTATTCTAGTTCGCCTTAGTTTATCCAATTTAATTCTGTCCCATCTATCACCACTTACAAGGTTAGTGAAGAATCCTGTTTAAAAGTGTGCTTTACCTACCATCAGATCATTGTGTTCACTCGTAATTAGTAACCAGTATTTACCTTTATCTTACCATGTAGTCATATGTGCATGAATCCATATAATACGTAGAACCACTAAAATCAAGCATGTTTGCTACTAGCCGTGAGATGTTTACTGGAATACACACTGGATTTTCAATCGTGATGAGTTGATATTCATCGTCATAACTTTTCAGCGTTAGGAAGCGCTTTAAAATTGTTTCCGACCACGAATCCTAATTCTGGTCCCGTGGATTTTCGATATCTGATGATAAAATTTTGTTGCACTCAGTTTGCTTTGTCACAATTATACACGTTATAGTGGTTTTCACTCGAACGCTAGATAGGCTAACGATCTTTGTATTCTGCTTATATATATGAGAACTATCACCAAACTCAAGTTTACATTTGTTTGGTAGTAGTTAAGTCCCCGAATTCCTTTGTACTTCCGAATCAGCTTTCCCTCTCGAAATACTCTCACATGGCCACGTGCATGCAACCACTGCCAGGGAAGTCCTACTCACTGCCTGCTTGCGGCATTACTGTTGTTTACGAAATTGAGAGGATTAAAAGCGAATGTCCGGCGCTTTAACCGGCTTGGTGGACATGGAGAGTACACCTAGGGGAGTTGGGAAACCCTGATTCCAAACCAATGGTTTACTTGGGCTCCAGTATCCTGACGGAACAAATGGTGTATGGACCTATTTTTGGTCACCGGTTGCCATTGGACTGCATCCCCTGACGTTGCTCCACTGTCTTGTGGATCAGACCTTTAGGTCGGAGGTTTTCTCTAAGGAAACCACCTGCTTCAGTTTAGGCACCTGGGCAGCATCCCAGCCCTCACACAAACTGAATGATTTGTGTGTTACATCTATTTGGTGCCTCTTTGTACTAGTATTTATGTGTTTAAATAAATAAAAGTAGTTAAACAACTATATGGGAGTCATCAAATGCTTCGTCCTATGTAAACCAGTAAGACGGCAAAACAGAAAAAGGACTTGTCTTTTGTTATGTGCTTCCGGGAAATCTTTAGTGACAGGAATAATTTAAATATTGTATTGATAAGCTTAAAACGATGTTAACTAAGTTAAGGCAAGCAAAGAACAAAACCTCTGTGTAAGTCGGTGTGTAGGTTTCTTGCTTGATATTATTATGCCAAACACGGTCAGATCTATTTTTTAGTTATGTGGTAAAAATAGTTCAAGAATACTGAAGTCAGGTTTCTTGAATTTTACGTCGTAATTTGAAATCTTAAAATTTTTTAATATGAAGTGGTAAGTTAGCGAACAAGGACATCTTAAGAATTGCATTAAGGACTGTCTGAAATTACAAGCAAACAATAGAATACTTAATCATGAAATAGCACACTTTAATCGTAATAGCGCCCAGCTGTAAAAATTTTGAAGGCAACTAAACTGTCGACTGTATAAATAGCGAGAGCCATGAAGGTGAAAATCTGAAAAAGAACAAGATCTCGTATTAATAAACCAGTGACTTAAAAAAGTTGAATGTTAACAGACTAACATATGAGTCACGAATTCAGGACTACCAGACTTCTCGAAGACGGTAGATCGTATAGTACTCAACTTAAAAAGGAACTAATGGGTACATGTTTTATTGCTTAAAAGATTGCTTCATGTGGAGACTGCAACCCACTTCATTCCCTAACATAATTACGGACGAGTCCAACATGTTACTGTGAGTATCAAAATGTCAAGCTATCGGATCTATTAACCTTGAACTCTTTATTCAATGACTTACCAAGTAAATGCAATCAGTCTCTGGTATTCGTAGACCTTAACATTTGAGGGGTGAATGGTCCCATTAATATCAATGCTCTCTAAAACAACTAGAATAAGATAACTGACTGAACGACTAGAATTTTTTTTAAGCATAGACAAATAAAGAATGTTACTGTCGGAAATATACAAGTGAGACAGTTACCTGTCTCGTACGTCCTTAGCGGTTTCATTATTGCACCTTTTAATATAGAAAACAATAGGGTCAACCAACTTATTATTTTTACAGAAGACGGAGGCAGCTAGATCTTTAAATTCGTCTACTACATAGATAAGACTTTCTAAAACAAAAAGAAGCGAACCGATTCCATCAATCTCACTACTAACATATCTAATACGTATTAAACAGACTCTAAAAACGGCTATGTTTTGGTCTTACCGTTTCTGCTATTATAATACCACTTAAATGAGAATATGCTGCAGACAGTACTCCATTTGAAAACACAAGTATGCATACGATAACATAGGCAGCAAGTTCCTGATATAATTATTATTAGTTAGTAGCACTCACGATTAGACACCAAGGAGCCGCAATAAAACGATGCAGAAGAAAGAGATGGAAGACAAGGAAGAATGCGGTGACAATGAATGATAACGCAGTTGTTACGGTCAGCCATGAACCACCAACTGATATGAAATTCTTATCCAAGAAACTGATGATAAACGCTATGAAGATACACAACAGTTCGCATAACTTAATCATTGCAGGAAATGTCCTGAGGTAACCTTCATAACACTTCCAATGGAAGATGCTTGTGGGGATAACATCATCGTCAGTAGATTGATTTCCATTATCACTTACTGCTTTGATCCCATTAAGACTAACTTGAGCCATATAAATAGTTTATACGAGTATTGAATCCTGGAAATCCCGTTTTTATCAAGATATACATACAATTACTTTCCAACCTAAGATGTTTTCTCTCAAGCGCTTTAATTTACCAGATGAACTCTGACCTTCACTTTATGATTTTAAACGAACTGGATAAAGTGTTTGTGAATAATGCAAAATACGTATTTATTTATAGTTTTTACATTTACATCCGGTAACGTCTTCAGTTTTTTGAATTTTAGATTTGTGTAGTAAGAACAAAATACTTATAGCTCATTCTTCTTCTTCTCCATTATGCTTCTGTGAACGTCTAGCTTCCTATTGAGCGGGTAATTGAAGGTGCCTACACCAATGCTTCAGGAGACGGATTCCAACAATTGATGACTCGGTTTGAAAACCGATATGCACAGGATAATTTGCTCGTTCTCGGCTTTTCTAATCGCCTCCTGTGTCCTCTGAGATGTCATGATCTAGTATTAAGAAAAAGAGAAGATATATTTGGTCTAAAATTATTTCTTACTATTCCATATATCAAAATCAGATCATCTGGTAATCTGCATTTCAAGCACTTTTTGTATGGTAAACCTCAGGATTTTTGAGTTGCACGAGTAGCTGATCTCTGTAATTCACCAAGGATATTCAAGTCAACTTTAAAACAGGGACTTGCAGCCTGAATGCAGTTTTTAAGCTTAGTTCTCAATAAAATTGTCAATACTGTGGTGAACATAGTGGTATGTAGCTTGGTGAATGTCAGTCCGAAATACCATAGGATTCCCATCTCCTCAAGTGCATACTCTCGGCAGTGGGTCGTGGTCTCAAGATTGTAGCGATAAATAAATCCACAAAATAAATAGCTCTGTAAGTTTTTGACATTGGATGATGACCACATGTTTTAATGGACTCACCTAGGTGAAGGCGCTCGGTCATGCATCCGCACCAGATCAGGGGTGAGCACGCCGTGCTCATTATCTGTTGCGATCGCTAGCCAGATTAGATCACACGGTTCTTGATATATTGATATCACATCAAATATATCTTCCAATCTCATCGATTCTGTCTTTTGATTTCTCTTGGTGGGTACGAGTTATATCAGGTGTTATTAGTTAAAGCGTTGTCAAACACTGAATACCTGTGCCATCTTCATTAATGATCCTAACGTGATATGGTACACCAAATCGTAAACTGTGAGTCTGTTCCATCTTGTGATTCTATATATCATTGCCTTATGTCAATATTTTATACATTGTAATTTTTTTCGTGCTTTTTGGAGATATATATAGTTTTTCCCACGTTCATTATCGTACTTCATATTTCATCATGACTGAACAGACACCCAAAGTATCTTAATTTTCGTAACGACCGTAAGCGATCACACACCCCATGTGAGCGATCTGCCTCTAGACCACGAGAGGTGGATAACCCGGACCGGTGCTAGTATCATAACCAGTATGGAAAGTCTTCCAGAAATTGCAGAAAACCCTGCAATTTTCCCAACTCAAAACCGACCGTTTCGAAAAACAACTGGGGAAACTTCCAAGCCGGCACGCGTTAACGGCAACTGTAGCCGGCGAACATAGCCGTCTGTTGAACGTCACAGATGTGACAACGGGAATTCGCTACCTAGTCGATACTGGCGCAGAAGTTAGCGTTCTCCCAGCGAATTCAAACGACCGACTTCACGAATCGGCTTTTAACTTACGTGCAACGAACGGAAAACCTATTGCTACGTATGGCAAAATGTACGCTTACCTTGACGTGGGTTTACGCAAACCCATTCACCTGATCTTCGTTGTTGCGGATGTTTCTCTACCAATCATTGATATGGACCTTCTACAACACCATAATCTAATCATCGATACGCGCAAACGGGGGCCAGTAGACGGAAACACTAATCTATCCGTTTGCGTAACTTCTTTTTCTGGTTGCAGATTATCTCAAGTCTCAATTAAGCATATGATAGACCCACTTTATCAACCACTACTCGATAAGTATCCTGGGATTCACCAAACACTACCGAAACTACCGTGTGTAACCAGAAACGTTACACATCACATCACGACTACAGGACCACCTGTATTCTCTAAAGCACGACAACTAGCTCCTGAAAAGCTATGGTTGTGGTCGCACATCAATCGAGTATAGTAATCCAAACATTTCATCATCTAAATACTGAAAAGACCTACGAATTGACCATAATACTCTATAGCCTTTTGCAGCAGCAGCCTTACATTGACTAGTGGTCTTAATACTACTGCTTAATATAACTCCTTAATCTTTATAGTTTACTTTGGGCAGCACGAACCCACATATTGTGTAGTGATGTGATTCATCATAGTTGTTTAATTGCACCACCACACTCTTATTAGGATTTACTTCTACTGGCCACCTGTTCAACTATGCCATCAATGAGATGAGATCATCTTGTAATAATATTCTATCCGACATACTGTGTATGGGTATCCAAACTTTTATGTCATCAGCGAAGAGTAGAACGGATCATTTTGCTACAGTTGGCAATTCATCTACATAAAGTAAAAAGAGAAGAGGACCGAGGATTGTACCTTGAGGAACTCCACTTTTTACAGGTATTCACGGGGAGAGAGCTCTATTAACCCTTACCCTTGGTCTCCTGTCATGAAGGAAGTTACTTATCCAATCTACGACTGTATAATGGATTCCAAAACGTTCTAGTTTGAATTTAAGACCAGAGTGGGAAACCTTATCAAAAACTTTAATGAGATCTATGAAAATCACATCCACAGGAACACTCCGATCCTTTGCCGCAGCCCAATCTTCTATTGCAATGAGAAGATTTATGAAGCACGATAGGCCTCTCCGAAAACCACGCTGCTCCACGGAGAAAAGATTATGCCCTTCAACATAGTGAATAACAAATATCCGAATGGTTTTCACCATCAGTTTTACAACCGCACTAGTTAAGCTAACGGGCCTATAGTTACTAACTAAATCCCTACTCCCAGCCTTATACACCGGACTTATTATGGCGTCTTTCTAGTCTCTGAGCAATCTGGACTGTCTTAGAGACATGTCAAACAGTATCGCTAATGATTCAGTGATTACATCTTATACGGCTTTCATAATCCTAGGATGAATATCATCCGGACCACTGGACTCATCAGGTTTGAGACACTGAAGAAGCCTTAAAACAGTACCTTTCTCAATGACTACAGGGTCCATTGACGAGCCGCCGCGACCACGATGAATCGTTGGTCGTTCCTCATTACCGATAGAAAACACTTTACTAAAATATTCCGATAAAGCTTCAGCCTTTTTGGTATCATTTTCTGCCAAAATTGATGGATTTTCTTGTATAGAAAGTGATGAAATTCCATCGCTTCTCTGAGTTCGCCTTTTTAAACACGGGAATAATCGTTTCGGACCATATCTAGAATTCCTGATCAATTGTTTTTCATACGATCGTCAAGTCTTACTTATTAACGCTTTACAAGTATTCCCAATCTTACAATAACTGAACCTATTTTGTTCTATGCCAGTAGAGATGAACGTATTCCAGTTCTCCTTCCTTTTTCCAAGAAGTTCCCTGATTGCTTTGGTTATCCATGGTGGACTGTTATTCGGTCTTCGCGGTACCTAATATGGTATGAACGAGGACGTAACTAAATTAACCTACCTTTAAATACAGAACATGCTTCTACAACTGATAAGCCAGTATCTACAAACCAATCTGTCTTAGCAGCGCACACCTGAATGGCTGATATGTTAGCTTTCCATACATTTGGGCGAGGTGTAACTTGTTCTAAACGTGAATGACAAAACAGCGTGATCGCTGTTCAATAACGGTGGGAGAATATTTAGGTCGACAATATCCCCAGTATCATGAGTGATTACCAAGTACATCAGAGAAGAACCTTGGTTAGCACCAAAACGTGTGGGTTGTGATACACGCTGCACTAGTGCATGCTCCATTATTGTTATCAGTAACCTACTATCAAAGGAGTTTATAGATCCTTCTGTGGTCATATCAGTCCAATTTATATCAGGTGCATTAAAGTCTCCTATTATCAAGCATCTGGTATTTGCACTCCAAAGATAAATGTGTTTTAAAATAAAGTCATCATCTAATCAGATTAGGCTGCGATAGATGACACCGGCCATAAATATACTACGTCCGATAGTCAATTTACAGCTAATGACTTCACAAGTACCGCTATCATGGGATTCGCTAGCAGAGGAGCGGATAATTATATTATTGGCTATATATAACAGGATGCCACCTCCTTTTCTACATCTATGTCTATCACTCCTGAGGTAATGGTATCCGGATAATTCTGGAGTAATGTCTAAGTCATGGACTAAACAAGTTTCTGTCACTGTTACAATGCGTGGCTTTAGTCTGTCCACTAATGCTTTTAGTTCATAGAACTTATTTCTTAAACTACGAGCGTTGGCATATAAAACTCCTTAGTAGAACGGTCTATCCATACAGGCCTTGGTAGCATTCGCCTCCAAGACCTGACTGTCAGAAAACCTACTAGTCGGAGATTTTCTTCAACGTTTTGTCGACGGGTTTCTAGTTCAGCTAGTGCCTTTTTTCTCTTTTTTCTATCTTAGAGAGACATATCAGGTCTAACTCGGATGTCGTAATTGTCGTGACAACGAGCGCTACTTAACAGGAGATGCCGTTGCTTCTCATATCCTAGGATTGCCTTAAGGAGTCTGTATGATCGGGGCTCAACATTGTACTTAGTCCTCTCGCCTATTCTAACCAGTTTTTCTGACCTGAACTCCTTTAGGGTTATCTGGTAAGATAGTACGAATATATTCTTCCAGCTCCTCTTAACCATGTGCGTGTCTCATTTTGGGATCAGGGTCGTTTGATTCCGACAACTTGCTCACAATAATATTCGATGATATTAAATTCTTCCTCTGAGTCACGTCAGGGTGGGTTTCTCTCTTACTATCAGATTTTGGTAGTGCATTTTGTGACTCACAATGGGAGTCCAACAGTGACTTGCTAACCAGTTGCGTACTACCTACAGCTTTTTTCGTTTCGTTTTCTCCGTTCTCTAGTCCATTTTTCATCCTTCAGGACACTGGGACTATTTGGAGCGGTGACGTTTTATCCAGATCTTCAGTTTCCACTAGAGGTGCATGATTACCAATGTCAGTGTCAGGTGGTACTACCTCCCTCGTTAATGTTAACTGAGATTTCACTTTTCCGTCAGTCAAAGTCGGTTGTTTAAGGCGTCTTGTAACAGCAGGTACTTCACTGACACATTCTTCACTGTCAGTGCTCGTGTTATCAGCGCATGCGCCATCGTTCTTCTTACAGGTCAAAGCCAAT